ATATAACCCTTATTGCGTGTACTGTATAACCCTTATTGCGTGTACTGTATAACCCTTATTACATATACTATATAACCCTTATTGCGTGTACTGTATAACCCTTATTACGTGTACTGTATAACCCTTATTGCGTGTACTGTATAACCCTTATTACATATACTATATAACCCTTATTGCGTGTACTGTATAACCCTTATTGCATGTACTGTATAACCCTTATTACTTGTACTGTATAACCCTTATTACATATACTATATAACCCTTATTGCGTGTACTGTATAACCCTTATTACATGTACTGTATAACCCTTATTACATATACTATATAACCCTTATTGCATGTACTGTATAACCCTTATTACGTGTACTGTATAACCCTTATTGCATGTACTGTATAACCCTTATTACATATACAGTACTATATAACCCTTATTGCATGTACTGGATAACCCTTATTACGTGTACTGTATAATCCTTGTTACATGTACTGTATAACCCATAACTTCTGCACCTGGCTCCATGCACGTGTGAAATTTGTGTGTTCTCTGTGTTTGTGTTGTGATGTTCCTCTCGTAATAAACACAAGTGTATACAAAGTAAATATCAGTGAGCCCCGTGATGGACTGGTATCCCAGTCAGGGGTATGGAAGATGGATGAAAAAAATTGATAAGTAAAATCATAGTTCAAAATCCAGTTTAAGAGACAGTAATTTCTTGTACACAGCTTCATTCAGTCAGCATTAATTTTTATTGTATTGAAAATCGATCATCTATCACAAGTATATCGAATGATTATCATGCTGATATAGATCAAAGTAAATATATCTCCTATCCAATTTCAAAATTCAATACTACATTCTACAGTAATTTCAGCTATCAAGAGAAACAAATTAAAAAACAAAAAAAACCACTACACACAAATTCTTCTGACAAAGTAACATTTTAGATTTGAAACTCATTGTTTTCACATTCCCACGATATCACAAATAAAAAATAAACTCAAACAGCCCCACCCCCCCACCATAACTCAATTGTAATGATTCTGATTTATGACAGTCAGTGATTGCTTAAAAGGAAATTCAAGTCTGCCGCCCTCATTAAGAAAATTATGATTTTTGGTTCAGGTGCCCATGAATTTTCCAATTAGTTGTGCACCAAAACAGCAGGGCTTTTACTATTAGTATAACTGAAACAAGTTTAGCACAAAACACAATATGCCACCACATCATAAATTTATAACGTAAGCAGCAGTATAGAATCAAGGAATAAATGAAATCGCAGCCATAATTTTTTTAAGTGGCTGACAACAGTAATTTTGAAATTCTTTTGAAATTCTATTTTCACTTAAATTTCATTCATGATTGCAATGTTTGAAAGTCACACTATTTCATTTTGTGAAGAAGGATGTGAAGCATTTCAATGCCATGCCAAATTTATTTTGTCTTTCTCTTTTTGCCTTATACATCCTTGCCTCAGATGGTAAAAGTTCTTCTTTATTGCTGACCTTTTGTATGATCACTGCTTGTTCTTTCATAGTTTGAAGTGATTGAATTCGCTGCAGGAATCCAGGTTTAGCTTCTGACTTTTCACTCTCAATCAGCAAATCAATGTATTCTGGTGTGGAAAGTGGGTTGGGCTTTAAAGCGATTTCCTGTAGTCGAGCTAAAGACCTTTGTGATGTTTCCATTAGTTCCAGTACTATATCTTGAAGATACCGAATTTCTTCCTCTTGTGTTTTAATTATTTCCTGAGCTGTCAGTTTGGCACCAGATGCTTTCTCATACTTTGCTTTAAGCTCTTCAGATGTTCTCTTCTCTTTCACGTTTTTATATTCCCATTTGTATTTCTGGTTAAAATGCACATTCCAGGGACATTTGCCAGGACACACTGTGCAGTTTCCTTGGGAGTCCATGGCATTACAACCAGCCTTATCCTTATCATCTGGAATAGCACAAGGCAAGTGGCAGGTGTAAGAACACTGCTGACAGTTGGTAATATACTGTCCAGATTGTGCTATACAATCCTGAACTGGCTTCATCAGCTCTACTTCAAATACAAAATCTTTATTTGTATTGATTTCTGCTTCATGTTCCTGAATTATTTGTTGGGTCTTTTTGATTTCATCCAGTTTTGCTAAACCAGCTCGGATCTGTGGTTGCAGACCTGTGACTGCAGTCTCCAGCTGTTTGCGTTCTTTGAGGACTTCCTTGGTTAGCATCAAACTCTTGGTTTCCATACTTGTTAAGGCAACAAAAAACTTCTTCATGCTCTTCACACCCATACTCCAAAACATCTTGTCAAAGTTGTCATCACCATCTTCCTCATTTTCATCATCACTATTTTTCTTATTGACTGAATTAGAATTGTCTGCAAACAGTGCTGAATTGTTGAATTTGAAGTGAACAGGAATCCCTTTTTCAGTTCTGGGACATGGTACACCAGACATGTTGATGGCCTCAAGAATTGGGGGCTTCTGTCCATCTGCAAATGTCACAAGCATCTGGAGATTGTCTGCTATGTCTTTACTAAAAATGGAAAGGATGGCATCAAACACATATTTCTGTGCATGTGTTAGTCGTGCCAGTGAGGCCTGAGTTACGAAGCAGACTGCATCTATATCG